ATGTGTTTCATTCAAAAACATACAACAAAATGATTTTTTTTTATATACAAATAAGAAAAGATAAATTTTTACAAACCAAACATATGGCCAGCGGTATTTAAAAGAAAAACAAAAAAAATGTTGACAGGAATCGAACCACAGACATTCAGTGTATTAAGATAACGCCTTATGCAAATTTGCTTTGAGTTTTGTTGCCGAAAATAACAACCACTCTGAAGAAACAAAAATGAAAACAGGACACAAATTATTTAAATTATTATTATTTTCTATTTAAGTTTATTTTACTTTCCTATTTTGTTAGTTTTGCTTTCTTTGTTTTTGAAACTTTTTTCAGCAACACTTATAATAAAACTTGCAAACAGCCGTGACCAAGTTGCTAAAATAAAATACTCATGCGTGGACATACAATAAAAAAAACTCTACCATTATGAACTTGACTATAATTCATCAGTGAAATTCTCATTTAGTAAAAAACTATATAATGTTCTAAAGTTATGACTTTGTAAAGTTAAAAAACTCCTCAAATAGAGGGTTATCAAACTTTCTAAGGTCGCCATTTTAAAAGGAATAAAAATATTTTTTACATGAAATAATTTTTCAGATGAATTTCAACCTATTTTAAGATACTGCAAAAAATACTGTCAAAGTATCGCGGTTTCAAAAATATAAACCGTTTCTGGTGGACATGTTTTTTTTGAAGTAAATTATTTCCACTAGGATGTGCGTAAGGGGGCACCTTAATAACGATTCAAAAAAAAGTGTTAGGCAGAAAATATTGGTTAATATTGTGAATATAATATTTAAATGCACTTTTCTCCGATTGTCTTTTTTTTTCCCATTATATCTCAATAACCATGTCAAACTTGTATCATATTTTCACAAAATGTTTATTACATCTAGTTGTAGAATTAGAAAAGTCTTTTAACAGTATTTAGAATTTTTAACTTATATATAAGTTTTTATAACTTATAGAAGGTATAAGTTATAAAAGTAAACTTTTTTATGCCATTTTAAAAATTTTGAAATTTGAAAATTCTATTTTGAAAATTACAGAAAAACTCAAATACTTAATTTGCTAAAAATAATTTTAACTTTGTAAATTATATTGTTGTTAATCATATTTCAAAAATTTATACCCTATATGCTTCTGGTTACTGAGATCATTTAGCTAAATATATTTTTGATGTTGGTCATTTTAATTGGTAACCATGACTATTAAACTTATTTTTTTTAATTTTTAAAATGCTTTGTAAATGTTTTAAATTAAGTTGTTACTTTAGGGTTTTTTTTTATTAAAAAGATTTGTTTGATTTGAAGTTTTTTTTGATGGTTTAGTACCTTTATAGGTGAGTTTCCACATAGCTGTTTTTTTATGGGAATAGGAGAAGAAAAATAACCATGGGAGATGTGTTGTTTAAATTTTTTAGAAATAAAACTACACATGCTCACATAAATATGTTTTCCATTCCCGTTTGCATAGAAAAATGGATGTTTCTATGCAAATGGGAAAGGGAAAAAAGGGATTATTGCAGATTTTGATATTGAACAGCTCTTAGTGGAATTCCTAACTAAACAAAAAAATGTTTTCTTGGACAACTCTCAATTTTCCATAATAAAATGCAAGAGTTTTTTCTATATGTTTTTTGTTCTGAGCACATTTTGATAGTTACTAACAATAACACAAAAGTTTAATCAAGTAAAAAATCACATTTGACACAGAACTTTTTTAAATGATTTAATGAAAGAACTGTTGTATTTTATTAGAAACTATCAGTAAGTGAACATGTAAAAAAAAATTTCATGGACATGTTTTAAACATAATTTGTATCTTTGACAATTTTAATTTAGAAACATTCATCACTCATAGCTGTTTCAATTGCTTGATACATTTTAAACACTTTTATCTCAATAATCAAATAAAAATAAATATATAAAGTCAACAAAATTTAAACCACAATTTTGGCTGGTCTTTTTTTAGATTAATTACATTATTTCATTAACAATGTAACTAATCTTTTATGCCTTATTACTTTGTTAATTAAACTCAATAATAATCTGGTTGTTCTTTTATCTCTTTAAAGCTTTAGATTGCTTGCGTAAGTTGCTAACCTTTAGCTGTTTAGCACTACTGTCACTGACTGTAAAGTTTTTTAAAATAACTTGCAACTTGTGAATTAATGATCACTAACACATGCTTAGATCTAGTTCTCTGATTTTTTTAATTATATTTTGTTTTACGATTTGATATTTTGAAAAAAACTGAAAATTAGACACTAAAACAAAAAAATAAAAAGCAATTTTAGAATTTTAGGTTTAGACAATTAGGAGACAACCATGGATTTTCACAGTTTTTTTCTAACATTTCTGTAAATTATAAACGATTAAACTCAATATGAAGTTTAAAAAAAACTTCAAATTAAATTTAACCATAACTTCATTGAGAAACCCCTTTTTATCCCTACAGTTTTTAACACTTTTTAAGTTGTACTCAAGAACTGCTAATCAAATTAAGTTTTGTAACAGCTAATATACCAAGAAAATAAATGTCATTAAAATATCAAACATTAAAAGTTAATATCTAAAACATACCAAATAAAGGCCTTGTTTTAAATAAAAAATGCTTAAAGCAATAGCCTAATGTGAATTTAACATCATAAAATTCTCTTAATTTTTTTATTTTTTAAAGACATTAACTTTTTTTAAATAACTGCAATAATATTAATTACTGAAAAACAAGTTGAATGTTATTAAATTTCTTCTTTATTATTACTATAAGGAATGTTTCTTTTTTTTTTTAATATTAAATAATTAAATTTAATATTACATTTTAAAAAAAGTTTGATATTAACAAATCTTTTTCTTTTCTCAATATTTGCATAAATGAATAAAAGTATGTTAAATTTTAAAATATTTAAATAATTGTTTCTTAAATTTCTACTTGCAGCTTTGCAACTACAAATGATCTTTTATTTTAAAAAATTAGTGAGTTATAAATGAAAAAATTACGCTAATTTATTTACTTTATTTATTAAAAGTTTATTATTTTATTAACGATTTTGTTGTAAAAACAAAGATTATTTTTCCAAACATCATTTACTAAAATAATATCGCTCTATATATTGTTTATAACAAAAATAATTGCTGCAATTCAACTTGCGTTATAAAAAAAGAGTTTAGCTTACATTTTGTGCAAATTTTTGATGCAGCCATTTATTTAAAACTTAATTTTCAGTAAAAAAAAAAAAAAATGTTCTAGAAGGAAAACTGAAAAAACAATTGCGATTAAAAAGAGCTAATCTTTTTTTAAGAACAAATAAAATTTAAATATTGAACAATATTTAGTAAAATTTTTAAACAAAGTTGACAGTAAACTAAAACCCAAGCATTAATTTTAATTTTAATAAACTTAAATATATTTTTTTAATCAAAACAAATTATACAATTTTTAAATCTTAATTAATTTATACATTTTTTATCAGAATAAAATTATAAAATTTTATTAAATTAACTTAAAATTAAATCACATATCTTTTATCAGAATTAAATTATATTATAATTGCTTCAAGCTAAAAGTATTAGCATTTTTCAAACGAAAAAATAAAACAATAGAAAACAATAAAACAAAATAAAAAGAAAATTTTTAATTTGATTTGATTTTTTTTCATTAGTATATAGCGCTTATATCTAACATAATTGTCATGCAAACTTTTGTAACAAATATTTTTACATAAGCACCATTTAAAAGCTTATGTGATTTTTTTTTAAATTAAATACTTCTAATAACTTATCACTTAAAGAATATTTAGAAGTTAAAAAATGATAAAAAGTTGCTTAACCAAAATCGCTTACTGCTTACATAAAATGGCTTAAGGAGTACATAAATTGCTCAACGCCTAGAGCTTTAAAACATGGCCTGCAAGTAGTTGTTTATTTCAATAGATCATAATGGAAAGTACAAAACATTTCTTGCATTAGATTACACATTTTTGTCAATAAATATAAACATAATTCTCACAATACTTAAAAACTACTCAAATAATTTGTATTTATTTATGATTATTTTAAATTTTATGATCTAAATTTTGTATTAATATTATAATATTATTAAACTTTGATGATTTTAAAAACGCAACTTGCTATTCTTATAACCTTTAATATTTTAACAAGAGTAAGTAATATTTTTAAGAGTAAGAGATCATACTTAAACCAGGAGGTTTAAGAATGTGTGTTTTATAGCTTATTAAAAATATGCTGCTTTTTTAAAATCCTGTAGCCCAGGCTTCAACACTTGATTTACTTTTTTTTGTTGTCGGAACAAAGTTGAAACAGTAAACTTTTAATCTCATTTCATTTCATAACAAAATCATTTACTTCGTAACAATTTATTTTACATCAAAATTGTAAACTTAGTTAAAAAAGGATTTACCAGTCATTTCAAACTTGGAAAAAATGATCAATAGTTAAATATTGAAATTGTATCTTTACTTAAATGCCATATTCCAAAAAAAAACATTTCTTGTGTAAAATTAGGGATTGTTTAAGTTTTCATTTCAGTTTATTTAATGTATTATCTCATACTCTTAACTTCCCTTCCCATACTCCTAATATCAATTTGCCTAACACTTAATATCATTATGTCTAAACCTTTTTACTAAGTGAAACATTGTCTATGAATGTAAAAAAAAAAAATTCAGAAAAAATGGAAAAAACAAATCAATCAATAAAATTAAATCATTTGATTCTGTGATGTTAAGAACAGTAAGGAAAAACTTTAATATACAAAAATAATAACAAAAAATAACAAAATTTTGATATAATATTTTAATTAAAAATAAAAAGTGTAAATTATTCAAAAAATGAATTTTAAGTCAGAAATCATTTTAAAACAACTAAGTTTTAGTTGATTCACAGAAGTTAAATTTTAATTTAAGGTAATGTAAGTAACATAATAGTGGTATTAATAATTTTAGAAATTTTTTTTTACTAATACAAATAATTACTTGTTGAGAAAGCGATCCTCCACTTGTAAATGGCTGCACTGGCTGTCTTAAAAGAGTTTGTGGTTGAACATGTTGTTGCTGTATTTGTTGTTGTTGTGGATAATTTTGTTGTACTCTTTGATATTGCTGTTGCATTTGTGGATACTGTGGCATTTGTTGATACTGTTGTGTTTGTGATTGTGAAGCAGCTTTTGGAATAGTTAACCCAAATCCTGATGTTGGGACGACTGGCGGTTCCCATTGTGTTTTTTTTGTAGAATGGTCAATGTAAAAACTAACAATATAAAAATGTTAATATTTTATAATACAAACAAATCATATCTAAAATAGTTATTTATATCTTAAATTTTCATACAGCCCTTCATAAATTATTTAACCTTGATTTTTAATTGAGTTGAAACTTAAAGCAGCTATTATACTAATTTACAACTGTATAATTCTATTTTTTTTTTGAACTTTTAGATCAAAAAAGTAAAAAAAAAAAATAGAGCACTAAAACAGTCATAAAAAAAATTCATTGTTATGATTACAAAACCAAAAAGATTTTGCGCATTGATGTCAGTTTGTGGCAAAATAAAACAAATAAAACGTTATATAAGTGGATTTTTTACATTTTATCAACAATATTTATAAACAAATGACATATTTGTTTATATATATTGTTTATATAGGGATGGTTAAGCGCAACAAAGTTTAAAAAAAATTAGTTTATATTAAAATTAAAAAATGATTTACATTATGTTTCTTTGCAAACACCAACACACTATATTAAAATTTTTAAGTGCACAGAACTGCAATTACTTTAACTTTTTTGGTTTAGTGGCTTTAGTTAAGAGCTTTTAAATTTTGTGTCTTATTATCTCATTTCAACATATTTGTTATATCATCCCAGAGGTGGATCCAGGGTATTTTAGTATTATAGTATTTTAGTTATATAACTTCCCTGTAAGTTCTAAACTCCAAATTTTTGTATTTTCATACTTTAGTCATTTAAGGATGATTTGCCAAAAATTGCGCTGATTAAAGCCTGGGAACAAAAAAACCCTAAAAAGTTGGCATCACCTGCCCAAATGTGGGAGAAATCAGTTTTCTAAGTATAAATTTTTTAGCATACTTTCTACCTTAAAGCATGTGGAAATTTCTTTCCATGCATTAGTTTTAACATTTCTATCTTTGTATGTAAGATGTGATATCATTTTGTAATATAATAGTTCAATATAAGGTTTTTTATAAAAAAAAGTATATAAAAAAAAATATAAATGCTAAACTCTGATATGAAAATTTCTGTTAAAAAATTGTTACTGCAAGGACAAACAGCAGGTTTAACTCCATATAGGGTTTTTCAACTTAACTTTCGTAATTGACAGTGTGCAACTAACTTTCGCAATTGACAGTGTGCAAATTTACACTTGTAAATTCACTTGTAATTTATTAGATGAATTGACTCATGCTTGCCGATTTTCAGAGTAAGTTCATATAAAATTAATAAGAATGTCAGGTTAAGAATTTTGTTTTTTGTTACTTTAAAAATAATGTGCTTTCGCTTTTTTTACTGTTGATGTCATGTGATATAATATTCAAAACTTGATTGGTTTTCGCTTACGGCGATTTGCAAAGTCAAAATGAATCTTATTCAGTCAGATTCATTTCGACTACCAAATAAACAAAATAAGAAAATAAGTTCAAATTGTTCAAATATAGTCATTTAAATATTTAGGAGGATTCCGGGATGTTCCTGAACAACAAGGGACTGATTCTTCAATAGAAATTTCATTAGGATTTGTTGGAGAGAGAGTAGAAAAGTTTTAAGATCTTTTCGAATGGAGAGGCTCAGGTGAAGGAATTGTATCAGATTTATTATGAGTTATTTTTGTAGTTATTATTTCCACCATTATCACTGATTATATCAGGCATTGGTGGGAGATGTCTTGTAGCAGCAGAGGTCTCATGTCCATCAGGCATTCTTACATGAGAATATTTACTACTAGCTTCTAAAAGCTCAATCTCTTCAACCAGAGGTTAATATTTGCTGTGACGAACATGCCTTTTAAGCAATACAGAATTAGTTAACCACGTAGGAACAGAGTGTCCATCAGAAGAACATCAACTGAATCCGAATAATTGTTTGTGAGGTGTAGTGTTAGTAGAAGTGTAAAGTAAGGAACGCATTGAATGATGGACATCGGGTAAAACATTTTCCCAGTTCAACTTCTTTGATTAAAGAGCAAGCGAAATTCCTTTCCAAATTATGCCATTGTATCTTTCACACTGACCATTGCCCTGAGGATTATAAGAAGTAGTTCTACTCAGGTTGACATCTCGAGAATTAAGCATATTGGGAAGCTCTTTAGACATGAAGCAAATGCCTCAATCTGAATGTATATAAGCTGGCATATCAAATAAAGTGAAAAGTTGAGTTAAACATTTAATTACAGTTGAAGTAGAGATATTATGACAAGGAAATACAAAGGGAAATCTTGAAAACTCATCAACACCTGTTAAAAAATATTTGTTGCTAGATGAAGACAGAATAATAGGTCCATTAAAATCCATGCTTAGTCGCTCAACAGGTTGAGTAGATTTTATTAAGGTGTGGTTAAAATTGCTTAAATAGTATTTAAGTTTTAATTCAGCACAAATTTGACACAAAGAAATGGGTTTTTTTACATCATCAATTGAAAAAGGCAGATTTTTTGATTTGATAAAATGATACATTCTGGTGATTCTTATAATTATTATTATCCTTGTTGAGTTTAATTATGTGTATACTAAAACTAACCTGTTTGTATATTTTAGTTTACATATTATTATATGAAGAATAAAGCCTTCTATGTTGGCTTAGAGTTAATTATAAACTTTTAAATTCACTACACTACAACTTATTCATCATATAATAATATGTAAAGTTAAAGGGACTAAAAAGTTTCAGTATGTGTTTTTTTCTGTTAGTTTTCGAAAGTTAGTAGAAACTTTACCTATAACTTGAAAAAATAAAGGAAGGATCAGCCATAGAGACTCTTTAATTAGAAGGGAGTTTATTAAGTTTTAAAAAGTCACATAATGATTTGCTTATAAATGTGTCAGAGCTTCCAGAGCTCCTACCTTGGCCCAATAAGAAATAAAGATATAAACAATAGAGTTAAGTGAGTTGATAGAAGAGCAAGTAATCGAGACTTAACTTGGTGCATGGAAGTTAGCAGCAGCAAACGGGATAAAGTTCTTTGATGATTTGCATACTTTTTTGAAATGTATTTTCTTATCACAACTGTTACATATTGCGTCTCTGGCAGGAAATGATTGTCGAGGGTGACATTTACTTCCACAAAAATAACAAAGTCCACTAGGCTTAGTAGAAACTAAAGCGAGCTCAGTAATACATTCAGAATGTTTATTAATTATAGCAACATTACTAAACTCTGTATGTGAATACATTTCATTATTTCCTTGAGCATTTTTTAATGAACGAAAACTATACGTTTGTATAGTTTTCATGAAGTTTGTAAAAGTTTAGAACTTTTACAAACTTCATGAAAACTATACGTTTGTATAGTTTTCATGAAGTTTGTAAAAGTTCTAAACCAGTGTGACCATTTTTTGGAAGATAATGCAGAATTAGTATTGCTGTCAAATCGTTCCGGTCTTAGATATTTATCCATTAAAATATGAAAAATAAACTGTAGTAAAGTGAATTTAATAGTCTATAATTAATTCTAAGCCAACAAAGAAAGCTTTATTCTTTATTTAAAAATATATAAACTAAAATATACAAACAGGTTAGTTTTAGTATACACATAACTAAACTAAACAAGAATAATAATTATTATAAGAATCAGCACAATTTATAATCATACATAAATTCAACATAAATTCAAATTAATGTATAGTTTATTTAAATCTAACTAGTTAGATTAATATTATCTCAAATGACGTTGATTTATATCAGCCTCATTTGAGATAATAGATCAATTATCCTATAAGTAAACATTATATCAAATATCTAACATGATGAGTATTTAATCTGTTAAAACAATAATACCTCTAAGGTACAACATAGATACCTCCAAGGTACACCACTGGTAGTGTACTTTAGCTGTGCAAGCTATTTTTTAAAATTAAAAAAGGGATGAAAGAATGTTTGGATGTTTAATAAAATCCTAGAGTAGCTAATATCATCAAGTTAAAGAAAATATATTGTTACAGATCTTATTGTATTTTTATATATACATATATATATTTGTAAAAGTCTGAAAATACCTCCGAGGTACACCACTCTCCCCTAAATATAATAACATGTTAGAAATGGACATATAATGTCAGAAATATAAAAAGATTCACCAAATATAAAAGTTTTTTATTATTCTGATTGTTATTTTGCAATGTTTACTTTCTTACAATATATAAGATAAAGATGCATATAAATAAAAGAAAAATTACGAGAAGGTATCGTTAAAATATAAAAAAAAAAAGAAATTAAGTATAAAGAACACGGATAAGCATCATATATTGTTACTGAGAAATGGTGTTGGATAAATTAGAACTTTTTCAACAAAATTTTTAAGTTTATTTATTTATTATTTTTTGTAAGGTTATGTAAATTTATTATAAAAAATTATACCTTATTACAAAAATAAGGTATATTTGTAGTAAGGTATAATTTTTTATAATAATATATAGATAGATTAAACGAAAATTTGACAAATCCAAATAATATTATCAACAATTTAAAAAATGTAAAAAATGCTCACTAGCGTTTATAATTTGGATCGTATCGTGCTTCCCACCCAGAAGGAAGCGGACCAGCCATTTTATGCTATATTCTCAGAATAGGATTTGTTTTTATTTACCTTTCCGATAAATTTCGGAAAGAAATGTCGAGGAATCGGTGTTATGAAATATGTCGCTTAAGTTACAACGCTGCAAAAAGAGTGAATTTTTACCATTGTCGAAAAACGGAATAATTTTGATCAGGGCCAACGACACCGTGAAGGGGGGGGGGGGGACACTTTTTCTCTAAAGGATTTTTTTTTTTTTAAATATAAGAAAATTCTAGATACAGACAATTTTTTTTAAGAATTGACGGTTGTGCTCCCCCACTTCGAAACCCGTGCCGTCGGCCCTGTAAAAAAGACTCTGAAAAAAGGAATAATGTGTCAAATGAATTTAATGAGCAGTGTCAAAAACAAAATAAAAGAATAATGTCTCAAATGAATTTAATGAACAGTGTCAAAAACAAAATAAAAGAATAATGTCTGAAATGAATTTAATAAATAGTGCCGAAAACAAAATAAATCGACTGACTTAAATAGGTAGAAAATACATATATCGGCTGGCTAAGGGCTTGTTTATATGGACAAGGGCTTGTTTATATGGACAAGGGCTTGCCTGTTTGCCGAGCTAGCCCGGACAACGAGCCAGTTTTAAAATTGCGTTTATATGAATATATTAGCTGTTTTGTGCCAAAACAAAAAAATTGAAATCAAGGTCAGCCTTGCTTTTAATAGCCTCTTTATCGATAAAATCATAAATTTAAAGATGGCAGGTATGGAAAGCAACGCGTTGTATTTAAACAATTTGTTTAACTAATATTATAACATAAATAATGCATCTTAAAAGTTTAATATTATCATATAGGCCATAGATAAGCAAAATTTTCTATATACTAACTTTATAGGTAATAAAGTTAATATTTTTATAAAGCATTCTTGTTTTATAGCTTATAACATAAGGGTTTTTACCATATTATGATCCCATTTAAATTTTTTATTTTTATTTTATCAATAAAATCAGCAATTTTGAATGAGAGTTACCATCAATATAATTAAACTGAAAACAATAAAATTGAAGTAGGTATAATTGTAAATTTAAAAGCAAAACAAATAAAGTTGTAAGTACGCGGAAGTTGGTAGTTGTAATAATGCACCGAAGCAATGTTTACAAACTTATATGAGAAAATAACCAGCTCGTTTTCCGAGATCTCTGCAAAAAAACAGTAAGATCTCGCCATCCGGGCTAGCTTGTTTATTCGTATAAACGCAAATTAAATTAAGTTGAAATAACAATGACGTCGAGATCTCGGTAACCAGGCTAGCTCGGCAGACGAGCCAGCCCGCTTTCCATATAAACAGGCCCTAAATTGGTAAAACATGCAGGAACTATGCATACATCATCCAAAAGTTTCATTTTGGGTAGGCAATCTACCAATTAAAAAAAAAAGAGTCTTTTTAAAGTTTTTGAACTTTTTTTGGTATTTTATATTAACTTATTAATACAATTTATCAAGTTAACAATACTATTTCTATTTGCGACTTATATTATATAAATTTTGACTAATTTCAGTATCTATAAGATTCTCTCAAAATTTTTTGAAAATATAGGAAGAATAGAGATAGGGCAAAAGTTATTATTTACATTAGTTTTAAATTTTATTTACATTAGTTGCATCCCATCCTTAGAATATTGGCGTTAATTTAAAAAAAGTTAAAAAACAAAACGCGAAGAGCATTCTCAACCAATCGTTTTAATCGAAGATCACCTTAAACAGCTGCCGGGATGATGACGAATGAGTGAATATATATTATAGATATAGAATAATATTTTCTCACTATATTATTTAATATTTATTATTTTTCATGATAATTTTAGATCAAACAGCCCATGAACATTAGAAAAACAAGTATGATACAAATAGATTTGACAATCATATTTGTATCATACTTGCACAGTTTTTTATAAAGTTGTTCAATAAATCTCAAAATTATATGAATGTATTATTAAAAACAAAATATAACCATTTTTTAGTCACCATGGAGGGTAAAATTAGCCACGCTTTTAAATCATTGAAAGAAAATAATTACCGTCTTAAGGAAAAAGTTAGTCGTGAAGTTTTTTGAGGTTCATTTTTTATTCTATGTGATATCGTTCATTTTGAAATATTAATGCCACAAAATTAGCATTTTTTAAGTTTCATCATGTAAGGTTATCATCAATACATATTCCTAAAAACTGCGTAGTTTTTCCCTCTTTTATCTTGAATATATCAAAGAATATATAATAATAATTTTTTTTTTATTGGAAAGTGCTTGAAATAGAGTCCAATTAGTTTTGTCAATATCTACTGAAAGTTTGTTAACTTTGAACCAGTTGAAAATTCTAAGTTTATAATTTCAAATAATAAAGTAATGTTGTTATGCAATAAGAATAAATTTGCATCGTCGGCAAACATTATTGTCTTCAGGCTGGATTTATGGAGATCATTGACATATATTTGAAAATTAAGAATTTATTTAAATAACTCTTTGCCCATTTTAAAATGACATCTGTGATTCCATATAGTTTGAGCTTTTTAATAAGAATTTAATGGTCAATAGTAATAAAAGCTTTTGATAAATCAATAAACTCTTAATGTATATTCCAATTTATTAAACGACTCGTTAAAACTACATGTAAACTAAAGTACTGCATGTTCATTGGAGCTATTTTTTTTTTTTGAACTATTTTGATTATTAAATAATATATTATTTACAGAAAGATCAGTGTTGATTTTGTCATTTTAACTATTCGTTTCCCTATGATGTTTTTTATATAACAGTCACTAATAAAATCAATTAATTATTTGGTTAATTCTTTGAATCATTTAACTTCTTATCAGAAACTGCTTTGCGCAGTTATTTTTAATTATAACTCCAGAGATTTTAGTAAAACTTTTAACTCAAAAAAGAGAGCTAGTTACTATAAAACTTTTTCGTCGTTTAGATAGAATTTTATGATATGATTTTTCAACTTCAGTTTGTATATATGTTTTTAAACTTGTTAGGTTTATTTATATCTCATAAAGTATAACAAACTATTATAAAACTTAAATATAAACATATATTTAAACCAACTTATTGCAAGAATGTCGAAATTATCAAATCAGCTAGAAGAACTTCGTGATTTCTCAGCATTTTGTTTATTATGTCGGTTGTAAAAATAAAAAGGCCATTTGTACAAATAAAAATCTGAAATCAATTTTAAAATAGTGTTAAAAAGGTGAATAAAAGTACTTAAAAACGTTAGGGGACTTAAATAACAAACATCTTAATAAATAAAATTTTGACTAATTTCAGTATCTATTTGAAAGAAGTAAATATCATCAACAGTTTCTACAATAAATTTAAGTTAAGTTAAATGTATTTTTGAAAAATTAATTTCTTAAAATAAATTATATTTTTTATTGGAGCTTTGCCAACTGTATTATTCACTTATTGACTGCCATATCAACTATGTAAATATTGCGTGGGACAGTATTAACATAAGTAAGTTAGAACTTCTTCTTTTTTTTTAACGTCATCAGAAACATATAGCACGTTTAATTAATTAGTGTGATTGACGAACTTATTCGAAACCTCTTTAAAAAAATGAATCTTTTAAACATCAACTTAAAGTATATAATATTTTTAGGTTTTTGTACAAATGTAAAACGAAATTATACGATCTACAAAATAAAGTAACCATTTTTGAAAACTAATCATAGTCAATCATGTATACATGAGATGTTTTTTAAAATTTTTCCAATACATAACGGAGGATGACTTTTACAACACATTCAAAGCACAAGTAACAGTGTTATCAAAACCAAATGTTAACAAACTTATCAAAACAATGTTATGTTGTTGGTATGATACTTTACTCCATTTAAGGAGTAAAGTGTCATACTAACAACATAACCAATAAGTCGGTAACAAATATTTTTGTAAAACTATATAAAAATATATATGCTAAATTTGCCTCTTTGTGTTCATTAAGCTTTGAATGAGATGTCAAATGATAAATAGTTCTTTTTTAATATACTATCTAGTTATCTTTTTTAGGCAATCATTATATAATGCAATTTAATCATTGAATAAATATCTTGAATGAATAAATATCTTAAATGAATGTTGCTTATTGTTAGCAACTCATGTTTTTAAAGGAACAACAGTTTTTTTTTCTCCTAAAAAATTCGTTTGGATCTATTTGAGAAAAAATAGTAAAAAATCTTCTTTTTTTTTCGAACTTATCTAAAAGCTAACTTACTCTGTGAGTTTTTACGCAAACCAGCTTTTTAAATGTTCTTAAATTTTTTTTCCCTCTTACTATATATTTGAAATAATAAACTTATGTTTTATTAAAATTTCATTTCTTAATTAAATAATTCAGTCATAAAGAACAAGAAATGTATATATAAAATATATATATAGTATACATAATACTGGTTAACACATTTCTTGTTTTTTTCACTGTGTTTTGATTGGGTATAGCTATGGCCCTATCTATAAAAAAATATATATATACTAAAAGATTGCTAACAGCTTTACTTTTTGAGTATTGCTGTATACAATAAATAATACAAAAAAATTAACACATAGATTAACAAAATTTTTATTATATATAACCAAATGATCCTTTATAAAGTTTCATTAAATGAACAACTTTAGATAGATTTCATTGGAAACTCCAGCAGTAGTCTGCCGTCATAAGTGAGTCACACCTTCCCTAATAACGCTTTTCCATCATCCAAATATCCTTCTTTTTGCTTCTCACTAAAATTGCTTAAATTTTGTGGAAATTGATTTAAATGCGAGTGCAGGTAGTGAACTTTTATACTCATTTAACACTTCCAATATTGATAGCATGTACTGAAAACAGCTTTACATGGTCACCAGATTCCTTCTTACCTAGGAAATAACTCTTAACCAAAATAGAAGAGTTGGAAGCTTTGTATTCGACATCTGTCACTGTTTTGGCAAAATTAGAATCTTTGACGAGGTGACTAATTTTAGGCTCATTAAAATACCGGTTTATAATTTTGCTGTATTTATTCCTGAAAACTTGTTTGAAACACTATTGAAACCTTTTATTAAGTGTCTTAATAAACTATTTTATTATGTCAAGTTTAATATGAAGTAGGTCAAGTCTCAGCTAATTGAAGACACGTTTATAACATTTTTTTCTATCAACTTTTAGCTTTTCCCGCACTGACCAAAATCTTTTGTGACCAATATGTTACTTGTCACGACTGTCCTAAATATAAATCAGAGATCTTTGTGTAATCTCTTGTTGACATAGAAGAGAGTTATGCATTTAAACCAACACAAACTACCCAGTTGCGGTCAAACTACACAGTTGATACTTAGTTGTTTTCCCATAACTTTTAAAACATTTGTGCGTTCTTCTTCCAAAGTCGTGGAATGCGCATTAAGTGTGGATCCGTAATTGTCACCGTTAAGACACTTTAATCTTTTTTTGCAACCGTCAATAAAAAGAGGCCAATCACTAGATTAGAGTTTCTTAAAACCCAACTGTTTCAAAATGTTCCAATTGCCGCCTACATCGTTACAAAAGATTAAATTCTTCTTATAAATAAAATATAGTAGCAGATTCTTTTTTTGAGCAGAATAAAAAGTGATTTTAGTTTCCGGACTATGCAAATTTATTTCTTTAAAATAAAATACTAAAATTTCAGAAGCTTCTTTCGGTAATTTCAGAACTCACACTAAATCAAAATAGTTGAATAACTCAAAAAAAATAGCTGTTAGAGAATTGAAGCCACATGTGAAAAATACTCACTAATATAAAAACAAAAAAACAACACAGGAAACAAACATTTTTTTTTGTTGACCAGTGTAATTTTAAATATAGATAATTTGTAAAAATAATATTTAATAATATAATTGTTGTAAGGAAATTTGCAAACGACTAAAGAAGCCTTGTCGTCGTAAACAATGTAATATGAACTAATATGCAACAGATTTAGAAATAAAAACTCCCAGATAAAAAATCTCAGCGACCAAACATTCCTTCTATTTATATTTGTTGTATTTACATATTTACAAATTTTAAAATTAATCAAACTTTTTATTTATAACAATCAAAAATATTTCCAACTACCTAAATATAAAAATATGTTGCTATTTCGCCATTAACTTCTGATTTTAGGCGCTAAGATAGCACAACGCAATTAAATGACAAAGCTCCTTATCAAAGTCAGAAGGAAAAATAAGAGCCTCGTTTTCACTTGTAGTTACAGATTTATAAATTTGGGCACACTTTCTCAACATTGACTTTTTCCGGAATGTCCTTCTTTTTAATTTATGCATGAAATAGTCAAGCTGTCCAATCTCTTGTTCTAAAAATAACAGCTCCTTTTTTTTGATCTAAAAAATAATTTACATGAATTTGAGTTTCAATAGCATGCATGCAATAAAAAAATTTACTCTTTGGGTTACATTTACACAGATCACATCAACCTAAAAAAAGTTTTTCATTAAACATTGGGTAAAAGAACATCCTACGCACGATAAAAAATTAACTAACCTCTTTCAAGCGGGTAATATTACAGAGTGAGGATCCTTGTACATCAACAAGAAATGTTTTCCAATCAACAGCATTTTTGCGCATATGACAACGGAGCTTTGACATGATGTCTACCTAAAGAAATGAGGTGTTTTTGTAGTTTACTATACTTGTTAGCTTGTGTTACATACAACCAACTAATAAATACAAACGGGTTTTTTCTAACAAAATAGTATTTTATTACTTTTTAGAAAGTATGTACAACATGCTATTTCTGGCATTATTTTGAAGCATTTTGCTTGTTTTTTTAAATTTAAGGAAGATAATCAACCTAGTAAGTAGATCAACATAACTAAAAGGTTATTAACCTAATAAGAAAAACAATAATTCTTCATAATACTCTTTGTAAAGACTAAAACGGTGTTCTAAGCCTTTAAAGAAATACTTTTCTAAATGAGCCTGGACAACAACAAAAACTTTATTTTGTAAAGTAAATGTAAACTAACACTTAAAAGTTTTTATATTTAAGTAAAGCGTTTAAATTTTTTTTTTTAAATTATCAGTTGGCAAATAATCCAACTATAGTGGCCAAGTAAGGCCACTAAAGTTAAGAACGCCACCCATTTTAAATTATTACAACCTTCTCTAATTCCTATAACTCTGAAACACAAACATTTACAAATAAGGCTGCTGTGCGGAGAAACTGAGAATGCAAAAAAAAGTTGAGAGTACTACTACCAGGAACGTAGTGGGGATTGAACCCAGGACTTTTTGCTTACAAAGTGAGCACACTAGAATTGTATGATCTTATATATATACCACATTGTATGATCTTATATATTTACGTTATATTTACGCTAAAACATGCATCAAGACTAGTGAATTAGAGTAACACTAATGCAATATATGATCTTATAAATTATATGGTTACTTACAGGAGATGCATCAGCTATATTTTCAACAAGATCCTTACAGTTGACGTCCAACATTGGATATCTTTCTCGATCTACATCTTTATAATCATTTTCTTCTATGTACACAAAAAGAATGAAAATGTTAATTAAAATGATAATTTTCTATTCCTTTTGTATCTAAATTTTCTCAAATTGTATTATTATATATTATTGTATCTAACTTTTCTCAAATTTTATGCACTAATTTAAACCTCTAAAATAAATTTGTACAAAAAAAAGCAAAAAAAAAATTAGCTTGAGCAAAAAAAAATTAAAATAAAACCCCTAAAAAAAAAACTAAAAAAAAAAAAATATTAAAAAAACTATGAAACAAAATAAGAACAAAATTAGAGCCATACAATTACCAAATTTAAAAAAATCATACAATAGAGTAAATACATAACAATGGGTTGACCCAACTAATAAAAACTATACTCTTTTCTAAAATTAAGGTATAAACCAAAACTAGACCATTAACTAAAACACAAACCATTACCTAAAATTCTAAACCAAAACTAAAGGTATATTCTATGAACCAAATCAAAGGTTTTCTTTATATTTAGTTAAAATGGTTACCTACATCGTAAAAAATCATGTAAAATTTCTGCAGTGCCATTAATAAATGCGTTTATGAAATGCATCAAAATTAGCAGTTTTAAGTGATCTTTTGTTTAACAACCATCTTGGTTTTCCTGTTGTCTTTGTTTTGTAGGCTATTAGCCATACATTTAATCGAGCTAAAGGTTTGTATTTGTATATTTTTAAAGATTAGGCATCAGAAAATGTTTATCTGGGAATTGGTCTATCTGGGAAAATGTATTAAACAAAGTCTGGAAACCAAGGTAGCTTTCTATTATTGGTTTTTTTACTTAAAATAAATACTTTAAAGAGTCTTTCATTTGAAGATAAATAAGTTAATTTTATGTAGATTTTTCGTAAAACTTCAGAAAAATCATGTGAAAAAAAAAAAAAAGAACAGTTGTACAATACTTCAGTCTTGATAAAAAGTCATCAGATCTTTTTTACAAATGTTATATATATGCAAAAACTTAATTTTGTGTGACTTGTTATTAAAGTTGCAGTTCTTTTACTGTAACTTTTTCTTGCTGCCCATAAAAAACTAACTTTCCCGACTCATAGTTTAAAATTTACTGTAAACGTAAGTCTTCTGTCAATTGCTTTCTTACTTAAAAACTACCTTCTTTATTTCCAAGTAACTTCTAACTTGATTAATAGTTCAGTTGTTAAATTAAAAAATTTAAACAATTTATTGCAAAAAAAAAAAAAAAAATTTCATAAAAGATAATCACATAATCATAAAAAAATTAAGTTGACCCATTTAAAAATCATAAAACTGGTAAAAAGATAAAACTATTACAGGGCTTAATTTAATTTTTTACAAGGTCCCAGACAAAATGTCCGACCAAAGGTTATTTTGGTCAGACATTGTCCGATCAAATTTTTGAAATAAAATTTGAACAAATAATTTTCACAAATATTTACATATATTCATATTTGTTTAGTTTAAAGGAGCACAGGAAAAACAAAAATCTTTAAATAGCAAGAGTAAAAAAGTACTGTAGATGGGTTTGATAGACTTGAAGTTTCATTGAGTTTTTTTCTCTTGAAAACCTTTTTAGTTTACATTGAATTGCATTACCCGTTTATAAAAGCTGTGTAAATTTTTTTACTTAACAAAATATAATATGCTAAGTGTCAATTTTGCACTTAAGCTCCACTTTTAGCGCCAAAAAGGTATTTATATGGTGTTCATGTAACTATTTTCATCAATAATAAAAACAGCAAGAAAACAAGTTTGTTATAATAATATAGTATAATAATGTCTTAAATATATTAAATATTAAGATAAACATATTATTTTTAAACTTTATATAAAAAAAATAAATCAGATTTCTTTATCTGAAAACAAACTTTCTTGCTCAGAAACATTTTTGAAGAGGTTAGTTTCATTATTTTAGTCTTCCTCACTATTATCATCACTTAACATACTTATTTTTTTTTTCGTTTCTAAATTTTTTTTATACTCTTTGCGGCATTGTTATGTTGGACAACGACGTTTGCATAATTCCCACTTTTCAATCGCAGGCATTACATTATACAGGAGGACCGAGTTTGCCTATTCTTAATAAACGTTCTAATCGTTGAGTAGACAAGGAGTACCTAAAATCAGTTTTAACCACATTCAACTTTGAAAACATTCTTTCTAGCTTAGAATTGCACACGGGGTGGTAAAAAAGTAGTTCAACTAATGCCAAAACGATGTACTAAATAAGTAATGGCGTCATCTGCGAACTCAGTGCTATTAACAGTTAAGTTTTCTACTACTTCTTTCTGATCCCATCCTTCACAATTTAAAACTTTCGTAACAAATTTGAATATTTGCTTGCTTTCAGCTTCTTTCAGCTTCTTCTTCTAAGCAAACTTAAATGTAACTTTTTAGGCATTTATAAAATTCTTTTTTTTTGGATTTAACAAAATTAATTGACCTGTCATAATTTTCCAGCTCGATATCTTGAAAATAATATTTTCCCTTTTACAAGTAACTTTTGAAATCAAGTATTTTACATCTAAGAGTTTTTCAAATTTTTTTTTTTAAATAAATCCAAGCGATCTTTTGTTTTTGACAGGAAATACATTGTATTAATTGTGTCAATTTTATCACTTTGCATAGAAACAGATAACTCTGATGCGATTCCAAGTAAGTTAATACACATATTTAAAAGAGATAGTATTTTACTGTCATTCCACTTCGCTAGATAACCCTTAAGTTTAGCTTGCTCTATAGTTTTGGTCGATGGATCTCAACAAATATTTTCTACGTGTTGAACGTAAATTTTCCACTCGTCAAGACACATTTTCATAGCAGCAATTTTGTGGGAAATCCATCGAGTACCGTTACATTTTTTGGGTCGATATCCACCAACGTTAAATTCCACTCCTTCTTTGTAAGCATTGTAGATTTCTTTTAGTTGATGGAGTTTTATTGGTGCCCTTTTGTAAAAATAATATAAGCGTAAAAGCATTTCATCAATGCCATCAAAAGCCATTTTTGACAAAGCATCTTTTAATGCAAGCTCTAAGCGATGAGCAACACACCATATAAATACTATTCAGGGTGACTTTTTCTAAAGAATAACATTAACACTTTGATTACTTCCTCGGTTAACTGAAGCACCGTCAGAAGTATATAATCTTACTTTTGAACTCTTCAATTCCAAATTCGATAGATAATTATTTGCAGTAATCTGCAATTGCGTCGTATACACCAGTCTCTGAAGAATTTTTTAAATTTCTTAAGCCTTTGAAGATTGTTTTCACTTGAGCTTCATCACTTCCCACAGGTTCAGGGTTGAAATAAGTTAGATAAACAACTTCATCTTCTAATGTTGCACTATCCGTTGACATCACATAATATCCCAAAAAATTTAGATTTTGACAAATCAAATATTGATTTCTTTTTTAAATCCTCACAAATAAAATCTATAAATTCCGCACATTTGTCGTTGCTAAAATATGCCTCTCCCAGCTCAACACCATGCATTTTTTCAAGCCGTAATATTTCTGTGTACTTTGTAAATGGTAATTCGTTCTTTGCAATAAAGTACGCAACTTCAAACTTTTTCTTAGTTTTCTCAATTTCTTTTCTGCTATACCAGAAATAATATCTTGATTACCTAACACATTAGTCATTTGTCTTGCCCTTTGATCTAGTAGTAATATTTTATATTCATAATATAGTTTGCAAGCATATGCATGGGATTTACAAGACTTTGCACGATCATTAACAGCAGATCTTTTAAAATTAGTTGAACCCTGAATAAATGCATTTAAAAATTTTTCCATGCAATTAATCTTGTTTTCAAATTTCCGGCAGAACTTGCAAGTCAATGATTTAACTTTCCTGTTTAAATCTAAGGAATATTCTAGCCACTCAGATGTAAAAACATCAGCTTATTCTGATTTCCACTTTTCCACGGTTGCTGCCAAAATGGTTCGGGAAGATTGTGAAGACGATGGGATTTTTGCTTGCTTCAGGTTAATTTTCTAGTTTACCGATACTCCTCTGATTAAAGCAAAAATTGTCTTTTGCACTTTTTTTGGCAGTTCAATTGGCTTGATTACTGCAACTGTCGTAATTGTTTGAGTACTACATTCTCCACAACGCCCTATATTTTTATGTTCTTCGGAGTAACTAACATCATCTTCGGATACTTCAACGGAACAAATGTTACATACTGGTAAGAAACAATCTACACAAAAATACTTTGTCTTGCGGTTTTTGCATGCTATGCATAACAAGTTTAAAATTACAATGAATTTATACAGTGTTCCAAAAGTATAATGAAAACGAGTGCGTTTATTTCTACAAAGAAAAAATCTACACGCTTCTCTTATACTCATTTAAAGGCGGTTAAATCAAACGCAATACGATATTAAATGACATATAATTATTAATTATATGTCATTAAAATTTGATCAATTCAAAGAAAATTTTATGAGTTCTACAGATTATTATTTATCTACTTTTCAAAAAGGCACTCAAACAATTTTTATAAAGCTAGAACTTTTTAATTTTATATATATATATATTTATATATATATATATATATATATATATATATATATATATATATATATATATATATATATATATATATATATATATATATATATATATATATATATATATATATGTATATATATATATACATATATATATATATATATATATATATATATATATATATATATATATATATATATATATGTATATATATATATATATATATATATATATATATATATATATACATACATATATATATTATCATTTTTATAGAAATAAAAAGAAAAAAAGTACAAATAAGATATATTTTAAAAAACGAATAATGAATCAGAAAACTCGAGGAGGACCAGGATGCCACCGAGAAACCGCTGAAGCTAAAATAGAATGATTTAGATAATTATAACGTTAATGTTTAAATGTATATCTTCTTAATGTTTTTTTTAAATATTGCATAGATGAGATCTCAGCCTCTAAAAATACACCTTTGTAAAATCTTTTATTATCAAACTTTTAAAACTGCCAGCTTTTCTTTACTTTTCGATGTCAACGGCGTTTGCAGTAATCAATCAAACATACTTTGACTTACTTTAAAACAAAATATTTTTTTAATGAGAGTATATCCACTCTATAAAAAAAAAATTATTAGCTATACCGACTTTCCCCATTTTGATATAACTAAACTTTTTTTTAAGCTTCTTTTCATTATTGTAATCTCTATCTTTTGACTTCTTTAAAAAACTTATAAAAACTTTTACATAATTGAAATATTAGTAGAATTCAATAATGCGACATTTCTTAGATTAGGCGCGTTTTCAAAGTTAATTTGCTTATTCGCATTTTATAATATCCCATTTTGCAATCGTTTTAAATAAGCAATAATTTTAAATTTAATAATATAACAAAAAAACTGTTAAAGAACAGTCATTAAAACTGCAATTAATAACAGCGCTTCAATTTGGAATGAATGCCTCCATTATCAACATATTTTATAAGTTTGTCTAATAGTTTACATTAAGTTTAATTTTATCTATTTCCAATCAATGAATAAAATTTTATTTTAAAGAATTCAAAATCCAGCCGAACAAAATGTCCGATGACTTTGTAAATTGATCGGACAATCAGAGGTTTTAGCTAGACAATGTCTGATGTCCGACTGTTAAATTAAGTTCTGCATTAGTTTTCAACAAAATACACAACTTCTGTTTAAGAAAAACTACATTCTAACTAACAAGTTTAGTTATTCTTTTTCATTCTTTTACTTTTTTTTTGTAACCATGGTTTGCTAACAACATCTAGTTTTGTTCATGTTAAATAGAAATGTGGTAATTATAGTCAACACCACATAGTCAACACCACATAGTCACACTGATGACAATGACTCTCTAGAACTAAAATTTTTTAACATAATGAAAAACAAAAAAAATGAAAAACAAAAAAAAACAGAAGAAAAGAATTTTAAATCAAAAGACACGAACAGAATTTTTGACACATTAAATGTGTCACTTTATGGAATTGCACATCATAAAAAGATTTCTCTCAGCATAGAAAAAAAAAAAAAAAAAAAAAAAAAATCAATGCAAGCTATTGATTTTTTTTTTTTTTTTTTTTTTTTTTTTTCTATGCTGAGAGAAATCTTTTTATGATGTGCAATTCCATAAAGTGACACATTTAATGTGTCAAAAATTCTGTTCGTGTCTTTTGATTTAAAATTCTTTTCTTCTGTTTTTTTTTGTTTTTCATTTTTTTTGTTTTTCATTATGTTAAAAAATTTTAGTTCTAGAGAGTCATTGTCATCAGTGTGACTATGTGGTGTTGACTATGTTATAAATTAATGTTAATGCAGCAAACCTTAGAACTGATTTGGATCTAAATTTAGATAGGATCTAAAGTTAATATTTTTAATGAAGGAAAAACTGAATTCAGCAAAATGAAGGGAAAAAAATAATATTATGGTTTCCCAAAATCAATTCTGACTTATCAAATTTAATCAATATAAACTGAAAATCAAAATTTTATTACAATAAATACTAATACATTTAAAAACAACTAAAACTAAATCACCACTACAGGGTTCCCACTATTAAAACTAAGGCTAAAATGAAGGATTTTAAGGAGATTAAAGGAGATATTTTCCTAATATTTAAGGAGATTTGGTCGCCAACATTTTTTTGAAAGAAAAAGTAAGGATAATTAAGGAGAAAATGATTACATTAAAAACACAATCTTATTTATTTCAATAAATTTTAAATATAAACAGAGAAATTATTATTACTTTATATATATATATATATATAAATATTAATATATATAATAACAAAAATAGGTTTAAAAACTATCAAAAATCTATATATTATCTTCTTTATTAACAAGTATAATCCATTCACTTTAAAAAAATTTCCTAGAATAAAATTTTCTAAAAAAAAAGAAAGGAGAAATTAAGGAGAGCAGTCAAATTTTAACTTTTTTGAAGGTTATTTAAGAACATTTAACGAGGTTTTTATTTTTTAAGGATATTTAAGGTTTTTAAGGAGGTATGGGAACCCGGCACTATACCTCATATTTGATTTTAAGACTAAGAAATCCAAAAGATGTGTGAGACTTTGATGGTGCTAAATTGTGTGCAGAATGTGAGTGCCTAGTCTAAAATAGTTGACTGTGGCTATTCTAATTTAACATAAATTGGAATTTATGTTAAATTGGAATCGTGACTTCTGGAGAATCTTTAACAGTATCTATAATAAGAGCAAATCTATTATTCCACCTCTCTTGTATGGTTTAGATTTTGTCATCTCACTTAAAGAAAAAGCTGAATTGTTTGCAAAGAACTTCTCATCAATATCATCTCTTGATTGCACTAGTCACGTTCTATCTGATATAGCAGACAAACAATGCTTGAAGTTTGCATCACTCCAGCTTCTGTAAAGTGATTTCCTGCTTAAACTCTTCTACAGCTTTTGGTCAAGACAACATAACTGTTATAGTCTTGCAGAAAGCTGTTATAGTCTTGCATCGTCTATACTTTCAAAACTGTTTAACAAGTGCTTACCAGAGTCTTGCTTTCCAGCCTGCTGGAAAGCAGCATCAGTTATTCCTATTTTTAAAAATTCTGGAGAGCGATTTGACTTATCTATCTATCATCTAATTATCATCTCATTAGTCTTCTTACTAACATAAGCAAGATTTTTAAATCTTTAATTAACACTTAATCTCTCATTTTGAATCTTATAACTTTCTAATCATCAATATAAATTTCAATATTCTTTTTCTACTGCTGATTTGTTAATGGTGATAAACGATAGGTCTTATCGCGCATTAGATAGAATTAGAGATGTTAAGGATATTGCACTTGACATTTCTGAAGCTTTTGACAAAATTTTGCTATTGCTGGTCTTCTCCATAAGCTTTCTTCTTACGGTATCAGATAACATCTTTAAGATTATTGAATCCTTGCTTACCAATCATAGATAAAAGTTATCCTCAACTTCATATCTTGTAACTTCAGGGGTTCCTCAAGGTTCTATCCTTGGCCCTATAATTTTTTTAATTATATTAACAAACTACAAAAAACTCTCACATCTAACATGGCATTGTTTGCTGATGATACTACCATTTATTTTTGTCTTGATAAGAAGCCGACACTCTCTGATTGCTTGGAGGGGGCATTTGAGCTTGAAAAGGATCTCACTTCTGCTACAGCATGAGGCTCATAGTGAACTTTAACTCAGATGAAAAAATTTTTCAGCTATTGTTATGGCAATAATCTAGATCTTTCTTTTTTTATGAACAGTCATGTACTCCACACCTCTGGCCAACACTAATTAAACAAAAAATTAAACATTTGGTCAACAAAAAAATTAAACATTTAAACATTTTTTTGTAAAAGTATTTTGTGGGCTTTTTATTTGTGCACGCGCCAAATAATGACTTTCAAAGTAATATTAAATAATAATGGATTTTTCTAATTTTTGAATTTAATGCAACTAATTTTCACAATACTGTAGATAAGATTCTAGAACTTTAATTTCACACGACAGATAATAAATTTTATTTTTACACTGTAGATAAGATTCCAGAATTTAATTTTCACAACACTGTAGATTAGATTCCAAAATTTAATATAGTATTTTCTAACACCCTATGCATTTTTTTTCAAATCTTTTTTTTAATCAAAATCCTAAGGGAGAACCATCTCTCAATTTTTTACTCTTAAAATATCTATTTTAATAAAAATACATTGCTATCTTGGTTTATTACTCTCCTATTTTGGTTTATTACAATTACCCAGATAGACAAATAAAACACAAACCCATTTTGAATTAGTTCCAATTGCTTTTATTGTAAATAAACAAACATTTTCGAATTTTCATCTGATAACCTGATGAAATTTAACAAGGTAATTTATATGATGTAGGTGACCATTACAACATAGAATCTACAATAGTGGGTTACATACCTGGAAAACTTGTCGCATTTTCTCATAGAATTATCTCAAAAAGCTCACTATAAACTTGAAGTTAAAAAAGGTTAACTCACTTGTTTTAATTAAAACAATTTGTTCTATGCCATTTGTTGGGGTACAAATTTCACTGTCAAGAACATAACTTTTAACTCCATCCCAAACACCCTCAACAGATCCTTGTGAAGTATCGACATTTAGTAAGCGTGAACCATTATCAAAATAAGCTATAAAGTCTTTAACTGAATTCATGTAGATATTAAATCTATGTGTAGTTCGAGAGGTATCCATTTCATCAGAAGTATTAGAAGAATTGACTTTACCATTGGTAGAAGCATTTTGAACAGCTAAAGTAGAATTAGAACGAGCATGCTTTTGATTGAGGTTTGCCATTAATTGACTTTGATCCAATGCTAAGTTGATAGCAAATGCAACAGGATGCTAAAAATGATTATAAAAAATCTGTCATGTTTTTTTACAGAACAAAATATATTATTAATATATATACAAAAAAATAAGCTAAAATTTTTATAACAATACTTTTAAAAATATTCTTTGGTAAAAAATTTTATAATTACAGTATATATGTATGTGTATATATATATATATATATATATATATATATATATATATATATATATATATATATATATATATATATATATATATATATATATATATATATATATATATATATATATATCAACCTTTTACTGTTACTGTTTCTAAGTGCTTCAAAAGAATTTTTGGAGCACTTAGAAACAGTAACAGTAAAAGGTTGAGACTTAATTGAATGACGAGTAACACAAGAATGAATTTTAGTAGATATTGCAAGAGATGCTAGCTCTTTAGAGTAGTGCCCATTATAGCATCTATAAAAAAGAGAAGAAGAAGCAACATTACAACAATGTGATAATGGTTGAAGGTTAAGACAAGAGCAGGTCCAACTATCAATAAAATGAGTTTTTGCACCTTGTCTAAAAGAGAAAAGGCAGAAATGGCAGCAATATTTCATACAAGAATGGATTTGAGATTTATAGAGATAAAGAATAGAATCTGGAGTAAGAAAGTGACAATCATGATAGAAAGATGAAACCTTAGCAGATGCTAATTTTGCAATGAATTTGGTATATGGTTTCTAGGAAAGATCTGAAGTAAGAGTTAATCCTAGAAGACAAGAGGGTAGATGAATCGTCAAGTACATTACCATTCATAAATATAGGAAGATCTAGATTATTGCAATAATGATTAGCTGAAAAAAATTGAGTTTTATCTGAGTTGAAGTTTACCATCCACTGAGAGCCCAATGCTGTAGCAGAAGTGAGATCTTTTTCAAGCTCAAATGCTCCCTCCAAGCAATCAGGGAGCATTGGCTTCATATCAAGACAATAATAAATGGTAGTATCATCAGCAAACAATGCCACCTTAAATGTGAGAATTTCTAGATTGTTAATGTAAATTGAAAAAAAGTATAGGGCCAAGGATTGAACCTTGAGGAACCCCTGAAGTTACAGGAAATAAAGAAGAGTGGTGGTCATCGAGAACAACTTTTATACTGAGATTGATAAGAAAGGATTTAATAATCTTAAAGGTGCTAATTGATAAACTGTAAGAACTAACGGAAAAGACCAACATATCCAACTTTATTATAGACTTAAGGAATGTCAAGAGCGATAGCCTTAACTTCTCCACATCTGTCTAATACACAATAAAACCTATCAATTATTATTGCTAACAAATCAGCAGTAGAACAAGAAGACCGAAATCCATATTGATGATTAAAAAGTTATTAGATTTAAGATGAGGAGTTTGTTAATCAAAGATTCAAAAACTTTGCAATGATAGGAAAAGTACTAACGGGATGGTAGTTACACAATCCAGATCGCTCTCCGGAATTTATGAAAATAGAAATAACAAATGCCGCTTTCCAGCAGACTGGAAAACAAAACTCCAATGAGCACTTGTTAAATAGTTTTGAAAGTACAGACGACAGCTTTGAAAAAATATTTCTGCAAAATTATAACAGTTATGTTGTCTGGACCACAAGCTGTAGAAGAGTCTGAGCAGGAAATCACCTTAAATTCAGAAACTCATTTGATACCAATGAATCAACCTGTTTGTCAGCTATATCAGGTAGGATGCGATTAGCAGAATCAAGAGATGAGATTGATGAAATGTTTCAGCTTTGTTTACAATTATCAACTTTTTGTATATAAAAATAACAATCGTTATTCATTCCCTAGTGGATTAAAAAATGTGCTTCAAAGCAAATAAAGTCATTTGTCATTATTTCAAATATAAAACTCTAATTGCTCTCTAGGGGTTTGTAAAATGTGATGTAATGCAAACACATAAGGTCATTATTGTAAATACAAAAGGTAATGAAGATCAAAAGCAAGCTCTTGAACTTCATTGCCTTTTCATTGAAAGAGTTTGCCACTGCTCAAAGCTTTGAGAAGTGGCTCAAGATGGTACGGAAGGAGGTGTGAACTTCTTGTTAAATGCTCTCCCGCGGTGCTCTATGATAAGACCGTAAGGACTTCTGGGAGCACCTAAATACATACAAAAAAAAAAAAAAAAAAAAAAAGAGAAACTGAAAATAAAATAAACCTGGTCAAACATCATTTGGAAGTAGACCAACCTCTTCTTTTGAAGGCAATCATTGATATTTCTTTCCATGGTTCATCCTCTGATGAAGAGGTTGGTCCAGAGTTTTTTGGGTAATATAATGCATAAAATAAATCCTATTTTCTGTTAAGCAGTTCATCATATCCAAATATACCTATTTATTATTTAGAGCATTTAAACCCTCAACAAATTGACATCCCAAATGATCAAAATAGGATTCACAATCTGCAAAAGGGCCCTCTATACTTGTCTACTTCTGAGAAATTATGGAACATCAGAAGGCAAAAAATACATCAAAACAGTCCCTAATAGATTGATCAGAGCACAATGAATCACATTTAAAACATATTGATGGTCTTTTCTGCAATTCAACTACAAAATATGTTGAAGAAGTTTGTTCTATTTTGAGACCAGATAAAGCGTGCTTCATTAGCCAAGATGACAAGGCCAAAATGCCAATTGGAATAACAGCAGCCAAAAAACAGGCACAGATGTTAATGCATCTAGAGTACCGGGTAGCTCTTCCATACCACAATTGGCTGCTAAACACAAGCTTATACCATTTGTATACGCTGGAATTACTATCAAAAGAGATGGTCTTGGAAAAACAGATGCTTTTACTTATTACCTACCTACATTATATTATATTAGTACAGAGCAATCAGAGCTAGAGTCAAGGAACCTTTTATTACAAGATCAACGTAGGACATCATCTTTGTACGAGAATATTTTACTCAAATTGTGAAATGCGAAAATTGTTTTTAAATATTTTTTTGCATAAATTTTATGCAATTATAAAAAAATTTTTCTTCTTAGGAAAATTATTCCGGTGAAAAAGATGAAAAAATGATTATGATTTGAAACAGCAGCTATGCAAGATAGAAAAAACTATGGAAACAGTAATGTTACAAACAAAAAGACCACAAATATATGTAAAAAATAGATTGAAATAATATGATGGTTTTTTATATTATTCTTTTTTGGTACTAAAGTTATGTTTTAAATTATTAGAGAATTTTAATAAATCATAATGTTTGGTGTTTTGAACAATATACTATGCAGTCTGGGTAATGCTGGGTCCATTCCATACAAAACTATTCTGAAAATAATACTTTAGTCACTCTGTCTCAAAATTAGTTCATTTTTACTACATATACAATCTATAATAAATAAAAGATAATGTCAAAAGTTTCAACTGAAAATTGCTTCATGATATCATCTGCTTCATGATATCATCTGAAATAATGCTGATTTCCCTTTTTAGTGAAGAGACAAGTAAACTTTGGCATATGATATTTTGATAATGGTTTGGGGAACTAAATCTCATGCTTTTACTGTGACTGTTCCTAAGTGCTCCAAAAAATCTTATTTGTCTAATTGTTTTCCTTGAACATCAGTTCTTCAGAATTTGCTCCCTTCGTCTTGTTTTCCTGATTCATATAATTTGCAATCTTTTAAGTCATCTTTTAATCATTATCTTGATCTATAAACTCTTAAAAATTAAAAAATAGCACTCTGGAAGCTTGGTAGTGTTAAAATATACTAAGTTTATTTAATTTGAATATCAAGTTTATTTACATTTTTAGTAAAACCTACACAATAAAATCCATTATAAAAACATGAAGTGTAATTAGTTTTCTCAAACTTTTTTTACTATTTTTGTTTTTCAGAATAATATTAAATAATTTAATAATTGTACGAACATTTCTTTATAGCTTATTGTTTTTAAATACGAATAAAATGATGCACCCCTGTGTCAGGAATCATTGTACTGCCTTAAAATTTTTTTTTCTAATTGTGCTCAAGTTTAGGCAATTTTCCCCTTTAAAAAAAACTCAAAACAGATTCCATTTATCCTGGTTTTACAAAAGGAGTATGTTAAATTACATTCAAAGTCTGCCCTTATTAATTTTTTAAACTTTTTTGATATACTTTTAACAGTCCTACCAATACCACCACAGGAGGATTCCATGGCTGGTAGCAAAAAGTATGTTTTTTTTTTTAATATATCAAGTTATAACTTTTTGAATTTTGTAAACAAACCCTGATTTTAAAATTCAAAGATCTTGAAAATGCTGAATTCAAGCATTAAAAGGTTATTTATAGCATTATTTAGAAAATATATATTGAGAAAAAATATTTCTCAAACAAAAAAAGATTTTTGTTTGAGAAATATTTTCAATACTACAAAAAAAGTACAAATGTAAAAAGTGAACATTGACTTTTGCTGCAATAATGATTTTGAACTTTAGACAACAAATAATAATTATTCATTATATCTCATTAAATTAGGCATTCATTTTTGTCAAGATTTTTTTTTTCAATTTCTCAAGTATCTAATATGCACTTTTGCAATATATGAATATGTGGTAAGCTTATCAACATTGTTGCTAAAGAAATGCTGTAATGAATACAGCATTTTTAGGATGTTCGAATTTTCAAGAGAACAAATAGTTAAAAGCATAAAATCTTCATAACTTTTATTAAATCAAATTGATTAGAGTTTGTTTTTTTTATTTTGGTTATGTATACATACAAATACATTGTGAGTACCTGATGCATTAGTGGTAATGTACAACTTAAGTTTTAATTGCGCAAATTGATACACTAAACTTAATATAAGGATAGTCTTCTTTAAATGCATGAAATTGATTAAGATTGAGTAGTAATTACATATTTTTGAGTGTTGGTTTTTCTTAACTATATCAAATACTAACAAATTTTTTTTTCAGACCTCATTCTTTACTTTGATAAAAGGTTGAGAATAATGCCTGCTTTAAAAAATGGTTAATCACAAATGCAACAACTTTTTTCTGGCAATCAAAAAAATTCTTGTTCATGTTTAACTTTTATAGGAGTTTGAACAAAATACTCAGATGGTGTAAGTGGTCCACGTTTCTATTGTGTTATTATTGTTATTGTGGTTGTTGTGGTCAACAACCACAACAACAATAATAACACAATAGAAATAGGCAGTTGCAAAAATGGTATTGCCACTATTTTTGCAACTGCCTATAGTATTCACAAATTTATTTTTTACTGCAGACATTTTGGTGTGTTTCAGATCTTTTCAGTTTGAATGGGTCCCTGCAGATATTTTGCTATGTTTCAGAACTTTTCAATTTGATTCCTACTCATCCTATGAACTAAAATTTTCAACAGTTTTAAAAAAAAAGTTGTAAAATCTTTAACAGTTTCTACTGTTTTTTTATAATGATTGCTGCATTAATTAAATTTCCAATCTAAGATTACATATAGGGGAAGTGGGGGGATAACCGCCCCCGTAACATTTGAATTAATGCTATATGAAAATAAAAACAAAATTTGCTTTTTTAACAGTTTATTTCAATAACCACATCATTAAGCTTTAAATTGATGCAATTAAGAAAAAAATCAAACGGTTTTTAAAAATATTATTACACAAAAATTACACTTAGTGAAAAAAACAGTTTTGCCCTCATTGTGAGGCACAACCGTACCCTCACAAAAATTGTTTGGGGTACACTTTTCTTGGTACATTTTCTTTACAATTGTCACAGCTCAGATTATTTGCTGATTATGTTGCACGTTTTCATACTGTGTAGACATTCTTTGTACTTACAAGCTGAGTTTTCTCATTCGATATACTCTTAGCTTCATATTTTATTCAAAAACTCATTTATAAAAATTAAATAAAAAAATAAAAAATCTAATTTACAACATCTCAAAACAATTTCTATTTAAGTTTTACATGAACGCATTCAAGTGTGACAATTGTAGTTATTGTTATTCATAATTACCTAACTTAGATAAATATCAAAAGTATGCGGTTGTGCCTCCTGGGCGTCTATGCGATTTTGTCCCAGAAGACATTTGTAGAAAGAATCCAGTTTCATAGCTTGCTTATTAGGTTATGTTGCAATCAAAAATGTTTTTACTTGATGAAATAATGCTGATAACACATATCAACACTAAAATTAAATATTGCTTAATCCTAAAAAAAAGGTCTGGAAAAATATTGTGTAAATATAATATTTTTATCAAAATAAACATTATTATGCACAACTTTTCAGAAACGTAACAGGCACGCTTTTTGACATGCAAAATGAAGGAAATTGTTTTACAAACGCGTGGTTTGTTTTTTGCCATATTAGATAATATTTTTCAAAGGTTGTTATTATGTTAAAAAACAGTTTGTTAAAAAACATTATATTAAACATTATGTTAAAAAACAGTAGTGCCTCCATATGCAGTTATGCCCCCACTTCCCCTACATCATTTTCTAGTTTTGCCAAAAAATATTATAGCATTGACTAAAAAAAATTTAAATAAATTTTTGTTAATTAAATGTTTACCATAGATTTAAAAAATATACTTTGTTTTTTTATTTCCAGACCTTTTAAACCAATTTTCTTATGTTTTTTAATAAAATTGCAACACTCTTTTAAATTTGCAAGCCATATTATTTCTTCTCACTGCCTAATACAGTTTTGAGGCAATGAACCTTGAGAACTTTTCAAAAGTCACAATATTTTCCATATTCAATATATTTAATATTTATATGCTTTAAAAGATAACACAATAAACTAAAATTTATGTGTATTGTGTCTTTTCTAGTAGAGGCAAAATTTTGAACCAAAATACTACAGAATTGAGCACAAGTAAATAATACTAATTTAGCATTTCTTTCAAAAAAAAAAAAAAAAAATTAAAAACATTTCAATGTCTTTTCTTTTAAAATTAATGTATAAAAAAATTCCAATAAGATGTTGTATTTTAGTACATTTTTTGATCAAGTATTAGAGACACAAATCACGAGTCTTATTTTTTTCTGTAGAGCTTTATAATTAACAAATATAATTATGGTACTTGTACGAATTTTCAGAAAGATTTTAGATTTTGAACGTCTCTTTGATTCATTATTTAAAATGACAATATCTCAAGAACTGATTTGTAAACCAAGTTGAAATTTTTGCAGTTATAATCTAAACAATGTCACAGAAAGGAATTTGAGGGCTGTATATACATAGTATGTATTATACAAATATTTATTGTTGCTTCAAATGTAACACATAATTTTTTACCGTTTCTTCAAATGCTATCATTTCTGCCACACAATCCTTAACAAATGTCGGGCTGCGCAAAAGAAATTTCATATTAGGAACCATATCCACTAACACTTTTTCACCTAAAAAATGTAAATAAATAAAAATTTTATTTTTAATGTAATTAATTCAAACTTAACTCAAAAGCTTTGCAAAATCAATATTCACACAAAAAAAAGCACATAAGCATATTTAAAAAAAACATATTTATGAGTGAACAACTGGGTCTTGCAATTTAAACTTTTTGCCCGGCCCAAAGACTTCAAACTTCCAACCCAGCACCAGGACAGTAGCGGATTAAGACTTTTCAAGGGCAAGGGCTATTTTATTTTAGAAGCCTTTTTTGTGTGCCACAGCGTAAATAATGACTAAAAATAATGACCTTAATACTATTACATGGCCCCTAAAATTTATTTATACGCAATAAAAGTCAGTGAAGAACCCAGACGTGTTTTAGTACCGCTTTACCGGTATGGGTGCCCAAAAATTATTTTTATTTTTAATTTTTCTTTTGATTATTTATAGAAAAAAAATTAGTTTTAAATGCAGTAGTATATAAATGTCTCAGTTTAGATTAGCTACCTCATTTTTTCTTCAGGAAAATAAAAAGAAATTGCTTTTTTACATAACTAGGTGATGTAATTTGCCTTTGAGTATTAACTGGACTTTGAGTATTAACTGGACAACTTTTAAAAAAATGAAAGTCTTTACAAAAATTGAAAAATTTTATAACAATGGAATGTATAAAAGATTAGCTTTTTTAAAGTTAAAGCGTTTTTAAATATCCATTCAGCGTAAGGTTAATTTTTGTTTTTGGCAATTAAGAATAAACTGCTTTCGATAATAAATGAATAAAAGTAAAAATCATCAGTCCTTGTAACTATCGCTCAAGTTTAATTTTTATATGAATAAACTTTTGTTCTTTAGCTCGCTATTTTAGTTTACATGAGGATAACGAAAAAACGAAGTATAAACTTTTCAGACAGTTTTTTTTCTTTCAATATTCTTTTTAAAATAATAAAAAAGGTTTTAATAACTTAATAAAAGTTTTATTTAGATCTGTTTAAAACAATCCATAGTAAATATAATTTAATTATTCAAATGTAACTTTTTAAATTATTCTTAATAAATTATGTTTACTGCAATTATCTCTTTAACTATCTTTAATTTAAAAGGCGCCTTAAAATCACTTAAAAAAATTATAATTTTTAGTAAAAGTTAAATGAACAGATTTACTAAAATTTAAATCAAAATTATAAATTTTAAATAATAGAAAAAAAGTTTATTAAATGCTTATGTTTTTATTCGAATAATTTATTAAATACGTTTATTAAATGCTTATCAAATTTGTTTATTAAGTGCTTATGTTTTTAATTCAAATACAAGACATAAAAGTATTTTGTTAATTTTACAAATATTATGCAATATAATATATGTAAATACATTATGTAATGTAAATATTGATTAAAAATTGTTTGAAATATTTTCAATTATTATTTTTAAATAAGTTTACTAAAATATAGTTAATCACTGTTTAAAAAACTTTAAACAATTTTCAATAATTATTTACTGATAGCGTGATATATGCAACAAAAGCGTTTATTAAAATCTTAAGTAAAATAGTTTTCTTTTAGGTGAAGTAACATTTTCCACCAGTAAATTCATGTATTCAAAAAATGCCTTTAAATCAAAACCTTGTTATAGGATAAAATTTAACAAGATAAACATAAATGATTATTAAGAAAATGATGATTAAAAATTATTGTCGCAGCATCCGTTTAACTAGGGGAGAATGAAGCATCCGTTTAACTAGGGGAGAATGAAGGGGAGGGGGAAATCAAAAACATAACCCCCACCCCCCTCAACGTTGCTAGAAAAAAACGATATCCCCGAATAATCTCTGGGTTTTTCACTGAAAGTAAAAGCATTATATTAATTTAAAAAGTAATCCAGTGTTCTAATAAAAAGACTTCAGTACTTCATAACATACTTCATGCTTGAATACTTCAGGTTCAAAAACAATAGATTTTAAAATGAAAAAGTACATATCATAGAAACCTACAACCAGTTATGTAAATTTCTACTTAAGCAAGTTATTATTATTGTTTTTTTTAAAATCTATTTAGACAATTATCACACACATTTTGTGGTACAATTCAAAATAAAAATTTGTAATTGTCATTTCATAGATTTGTTTTCAAAACAACATTGTTAAAATAAACAAACTCAAACACAAAATTATTAAACAACCAATTGGCCTAATGCAGCCTGCAGGTTTGCAGCTAAAGTGCTGGTACTGCCTTTAAACCGTTTATAACACCAGAAACAACTAGAATAATTGGCAACTACACTAACGTTTGGCTCATAGAACTAGAACTAACTAGAACTACACTAACATTTGGCTCATAGAATTAGAAGGTTTGACACACACAGTTAATGAGTTTTAATAAGTTTATAGTATTTAAATAAGTATAAAAATTTTAAAAAAATTAACAAGCTTTTAAAAAGTAATTTAATAATTCTTTGTATAACTTTTTATACTCTTTTTTAATTTGAATCAACTTGATTTGATTCTTTAAAGAAAGGTATTTTAGTAGTATGATAACAGGTTTGTTAACTTCTAATCTTAGTGTTCTGACAATAAGTTTGTAAAATTCTAAAAAAAAAAAGCTTATTCCATATTTATTTTAATGATACTAAGCATACTGTTTACTATATATATATATATATATATATATATATATATATATATATATATATATATATATATATATATATATATATATATATATATATATATATATATATATATATATATATATATATATATATATATATATATATATATATATATATATAATGTATACTATGCAAACTGTTTACTGTTTAGATAATACTGTGTCATGACTTACAGAACTTCTGTATAACTATTTTAATTTGAAAACTATTTCGTGAGAAATTTAAAAAAAAGTTTTTCTGAAAAATATTTTGTCCTGTAGGCCACAAGAATCATTCCATAAACAAATTTTAGTTGATTGATATTCATATGCAACTATTTTCAGATCAAAGGATCACCCTGAAGTGTCAAAAAAAAAGCTCTATGTGTTTCACATTCAACTACTAGTAAATTCTAAGCAAAGTGTGCTGTCAAATGAAAAGTACTACATATATTGTTTTACAATCAACTACTAGTAAGTTCTGAGCAAAGTGTGCTGTCAAATAAAGCAATAGAATCAACATTTTTGCGCGCTACTTACAAAATATTTTTTAAAGTATTGGAATTATAAATAAATTAACCAAATTAATTTTAAAAAATACATGAAATAAAAAATGAGTTAAATGGCACAGTGATTTGAGGAAGATATACACAAAGAAAACCCAACTCTAATTATATCGTAAAAAATCTAAATATTCATATTCCAATAATTATTGCATCAAAACATTTTTGATGACATTCTGAAATATTTCTGTAACAAATATAGATACCATAAAAGATTAAAATGTCTATACAATTCTTAATTATATAAATTTTATACCCAACTTTGACAGATTTACTTACATCAATGGCATAGGATGCCATTAGGTTTGATAACAATAGCAGCTTTTTAGCTGAAACATTATTATAGCATTTTGAGAACTACTCAGATTGGTCAAATGAATTTTAGTAGATGGCACAAAAGACACTTGCTCATTAAAGCAGTGCTCATTACATTAAATTTAATAATTCTCATGAGAATTGGTCTTTAAACTTTGAAACTTTAAAGTCTTTTGATTAAAGAGCTTATATTGATTAAAGAGATTTTTTTTTTTTTTTCAATATAACGATAAGAAAGAAACAAAACAATATGGAAATATAATCTCTTGGTTCTTTACTGATAATATATAAAAATCCATTTTTATTTTATTTTATAAAAAATATTATCAGGAAAGCTTAAATAAAAATATGAATTTATGAAAAAATAGGATTATTTTTCAATCTTCATTCAATACAAAAAACCTTTGTTAATATCATCTTTAGTTTTTTTTTAGTTTTTCACTGTAAATGCTTTAACAAAAAGATTGCTACAGCTGACCTTTGCAAGAAAGATTGCTACTGCTGAACTTTTGCAAAAAAAATTGCTACTGCTGACCTTTGCAAGAAAGATCGCTACTGCTGACCTTTGTAAGTAAATATCTTTGAATATATTAAACTCATATGAAACCTTTAACAAACATATATTCTATATTCAAATGAATTGCCTTAAAAAATATAAAAAAAAATAAATCGCATAAAAAAACACACCTGGATATTTTGAAATTTCAACTTTTATTAATTCCATTACTAAATGTAAAGTCACCATAGATGAGTCTTCACTCAGAAGTTTTACAAGTTGATATGTACTTCCAGCTTCATTTTTTACTTCAGATCCTTCATTTAACTTTGCACTTAGATGCGATAATATTAGATCTTCGCCGCAGATGAATCGAAACTTGAACATTTCAACTAGATTGCAGACTACAGTTCCTTTACCAGATCCAGGACCACCTGTTAATGAATAAAACAGCTATTTTTTATAATAATTATTTGGTAAAACATTTTTCTTTTCTTTAAAAATTAACCTATATATTGTGAACATTATGAAACTTTGAACTTACTGAATTTTTCATTCTAAGCATAAGTTTTAAATTTTTAAAACATAAACAAATTTTCTTGAACTTAAAAACTTTGCAAAACCTTTATAAAAAAATACAGAATTATTTTGTTCTATTTGATCCAGCTTTTGAACAAGTAATTCTATTAAAGCACAAAAAATTTAAAACACACAAAATACTTAAGATACAATGAAAATGTACAAATAGTTGAATTATTTCAAAAACTGAAATTTTTTTTTTTAAAGTGAATTCCAACAAAACCACAACCAACCTAACTAAGTTGGGAGTTAACAGAAAACTTAAAAGAAGCAAAGAAGCATCAAAAAAAGATTTTAAAAAATTTAAACTTTACTTTAATGTGTAAGGATTGTTTCTTTTAAGTAATTAGCAATTATATTAAAAGTTTAAAGCAAATGCATTCATTTTAGATAAAATTTTGCATACTTGTTTTTTTTTTAATTTTCTTACTCGAAGTTTGTTTGCATATATAAACAACTCTTTAAACGTTTTGAAAAGAATTTTTAAGTTTTGCTGAAATTATTTGAAAATAAAACTCCTTTAGTTGACATAAATCTCTTTAATTCAACGTTTGACAATAAATAAAGATACGTAATTCAATTTTTCTTTAAAAAAAATGATTTGTTGCGCCCTGGGATAGTTAAAAAATAGTTCTCAGATGGTTATTTCAAGATTATTATAATTATTTTGTTAGTAATGTTAATAATTTTTTTTATTAGAAACTATATTTCCACGATAATACCATTTGTAATAATTTTTTGATATTAATTTACTATTAACGCTAATCTGAATATTATTTTTACTTATTATAAATATTATATTAATTTACTATAAAGGCTAATCTGAATATTAAATTTACTTACTGAATAATTTTTAATGCTTCACATGCTTGCTATTTTTTTATTTAAACTTAATTACATTTAACTTATTTATGTTGAATTAAAACCATTTTGAATGTTTCCATATTTCGACAAAAAAAGTAGTTTTTGTAAAAACTCAAACTTTATTTTTTTTATTTAATTTTATTATATTTGCAAATAATAAGCATATTAAGTATTAAAATTTTGTGACAACTTTGCGCAGTTTTTACAACACTAACTTCATTAAAATACTGTTAAAACAATTGTTAAGTACTTTATTAAAATACTGCTTAAAAAGATCTATAGATTTATTATAAAACAAGTTTTTAATGTAATATGAATAGTGTAGCATAACATTAAACTGTTCTTCACATACATAAAAGCTTGGCGCTTGACACTTTATCACAAGGCCTGATATATATATATATATATATATATATATATATATATATATATATATATATATATATATATATATATATATATATATATATATATATATATATACTATAGCGTATATATATATATATATACTATAGTGTATATATATATACTATAGCGTATATAGATATACTATAGCGTATTTAGTATTTACTAGTTTTTCTTATCTTTAAAATACAGCATTTTAAGAAAAGGTATATGTAACTACACTCCTTAGTTGCAGCGGGCTATAAAATATTCAATATATTCAATATAAATTGTTCTTCAGAACTGTCTTCAATTCTCTCTATACTATTAAATAAGTGCTTGACTAAGTCTAGTTTTCCTGCCTGCTGGAAAATGTCATCTGTTGTTTCAATTTTGCAAAAACTCCTAAGAACATACTTACCCCTCTAACTATCGTCTGATCAGTCTTCTTTATTTGCAAAGTCTCTAAGTCTTTGATCAACAAATTTCTCACAACCCATCTTGCTCTTGCTCTACGGCTGATTTGCTAACTAAAAAATTTTTTACTGTGCATTAGATGGAGGCAGAGAGGCTAGGGCTATTGGTCTTGACATATCTAAAGCTTTCAACAAAGTTTGAAATGCTGGTTTTCTCCATAAGCTTCAAATGTTGTATCTAAAAAAGTTTTTGAGATTAACAAACCATTTCTTTTCAACTGCTTTATTAAAGTCATCTTCGAAGGCCAACACTCTTCATTATTTCCAGTAACTTCTGGGGTACCTTAAGGTTCTAATCTTGAACCTGTTTTATTTCTTATCTACATTAATGCACTTCCTGAAAACTAACATCTGAAGTAGCTCTTATCACTAATGACTCAAGTTTATAATCCTGTCTTGAGAAAAAATCTTCTCTTTTTGATTGCTTATACAGGTAACTGATCTTGAATCTAATCTTACTTCTGTGACAGGTCAAGACTCACAGTGGCTTGTAAATTTTAAAACTCAGTTATTTACTGCAAACAACTATCGCAATACTGTCAACACTCCTATACAAATGAATGGCAACCCTCTCACTAGGTCCTCTTCTTAACATCTTCTTGGATTATCATTTATTACTGACCCTTTATGGAAACCATATATACAATTAATTGCCAAATTAGCATCAACTAAGGTTGCTTCTCTTTATCATGCTTGGCATTTTTTTACTCCTGATTTCATTCTCTATCTCTACAAATCCTTTATTCGCTTCTTTATGGAATTCTGCTATCATATTTGGGCTGGTTCTTGTAATGATGCTCTTTTTTTTCTGCACAAAATCCAAAAAAATATAATATATGTATACATAATTATATATATGTATACATACACATATAAAGTTAAAACACATTTTTAAAGTTAATGTTCTGGTTTTAGATTACAGTTTGACCAAATAAAAAGAAAAAAACCAATGCTGATCACCAAAAAGCCCACCATCAGCGTATCAATAATGATATAATGATTTTGAAAAAAAAAGAAGATAATGAAAACATTTAAAATAATTGACTGAAAAAAAATGTCACGCAAGCAATGCATCTTTCCTAAATTGTTAGAAAAAAAGAAAATAATCCTAGAAATAATGTGCAACTGTACATCTCTTAAATTCTATTTTTAATATTTTATATTGAAACAAAATTAACTTTAACCAGAATATTTAGAAAACATCTGTAATCATTTTTGCTATAAACCTCGTTTTTTTAACTCAACTTTTATTTTAATATTTAAATTGAAACAAAATTAACTTTATTCAGAATTTTTAGAAAACATCTGTGAAGGCGGGGGATGCATAACCTTCATCCCCCACTAGGTTTGGTCACTAAATGCAACTGCAAAAGCAAAGTGCGCAGAGTTATAGGTAGAACTTGACGTTTTAATTGAAGAATAGAATGTCAAAATTTTTTTAATATAAAACAGTTTTAAGAATAGCTAAGTTTAAATATGGAAATATACGGCAAAAAAATAAGCATATGTACAAATGTTTTGCCAATCATAAGCAATCTTTTGAAAATAAAAAGAATTTAAAAGACACCATGCTGTCAAAATAAATATGGGAATTAAAAGATAAAAATATTGATGATTTTATACTGAATTGGTCCATCCTTAAAACAGCGCCTGCATATAACAATACATCCAAAAAATGCATACTATGTCTACAAGAAAAATTTGAAATAATTACACATGCAAACCAAGAGTGTTTATTAAACAATATATATATACACACTGCTCCCAGATAGGGGGTTAAGGTTGAAGGTGAAGGTACCTGGATTTTTTTTTCACAGAATTATCAGGTAAGTTTAGTAGATTAATGCTAAAAAAAAATTAAAATCGGAGCCACTCCTAAATTGGGAATTTGATGATTATTTAAAAAATTTAAATAGTAAAAATTATTACCCTCATAACCTTTTTGTCATTGGTGCCGCAAATAGCTTAAATAGACCCTATGGAGCATAAGTAGTCTTTAGCACAATTTAAAATTATAATGATAATGTATAAGTGTAGGGCTGGCGAAACAGGTGGAGCTTAGGGGGATGCAGCCCCCTGATATTTAAAATGATTAAATCTAGTTTAATAAAATGTGAAAAATATTTTTATCATCCTTCCCCTTATTGTTTCCTTCAGCCAACCCTTAATTTATCTATTATTTTTGTTAAATTTTTAAATAAAATTTTGATACTAAATTTAAAATGACAAGAAAAATATATTTTTTATGAATTTAAATTCAAATAATAGCTAAAAATATTTTTAATAGTTTAAAATATACTATTATAGTTGTCTTAACTAAATATCTCATATTTCAAACATAAATTTAAAAAAAAAGTAAAAAAAAAAGAGATTAAAAGGACATTCATGAGAAAATTTTAGGAGTTTATATATGTACAAGTTTTTAATCTAACCAATTGATATCCAATTCATAACCTTTATACTCTCATTAAGCTGTATGTTTCAGCCATTCTTCTCATTTTTATTCCATGAGAAAGATTACTTTCAGAGACACTAAATCTCTTGATAGTCTTATTAATGTTCTTGTGAACAGCCTCTAAGGTTTGCTCTGATGTCAGACCAAGAGACATTTGATGGCGTTCCAAATAATCTTTCTGATATTTAATGATATGGTATTTCCATCCGAATGACATACTGATATTAAACCTTTCTTCAATATAATTGTTCATGTAGTCCATGGAATCGATGAAAAATTAGGTCCATCATTGTAGCCATGCTGAGTAACAGTTTTTTTTTCTAAGAACTTAGGTAAAGTCTTATTTGAAAATAGTACTCTTAACACCTGTGTGATAATATGCTCATAGAGATGCAGCTCTGGCAGAGGTATAACATCCAATACCAGGCTGTCCGGGCTCTCATCAAAAAGACATGGGTTGATGACATTAAAAAAGTTCTGCATCAACTTGAGTGGTTTTCCTGCGTCAACAAATCGCTGATACTGATGGGATAAACTACCAAAGGTTCTTAATTCTCCTAATTTGTCTTTTGCACCAATACAATAAGCGCATGCATACTTCCCACCATGGGCAAATAATCCTAGCATGATATTGATAAGCTTAAGATCTGATGCAAGAAAATACTTCCATTCATGA